CTGCGTAGAATTAATTGGAATTTTTCACACACAAGCCTTGCTATATGAGCTCTCAAAGCATATAAAAATTATACGGCTTAAATGTGAAGTTGGGTGCAAAAGAATACAATTAAATCCTCTGTCGGGAAAAAACGAAACGACTTTTCGAACAACCCTATATTTGACTTCCTAGATACCGAAAACCAGCCACTTCTTCTAATTTTTCGTCTTCTATCTTTATAATCGCTCTTAACCGATGCGAGTATTTTTTATCGATACCTGCTCATTATCATAGGCATAAATGAGAATAGACTGAAGTACATATTGATTTAAAAATGAGAGAAAAATAAAGCGAATGTGCAGATAGTAGTTGTCCCTTTCTACAGATTTTACAGAAAAGAAAAATGTATTGATCACGTTGTCGCTATATATCTTTTTGGAGAGTGGTCACTTTTGTGATACGAATGTTTAGTCCATTCTGCAAAGTACATACTCTACATCGAAAAGAAGCGTGAAGCATAAAGCATGCAATGTTAATTTAATTCATAATTAATGCATGTTTTAGACTTTTGGACAGAATTTCTTACCGTAAATGGAAAATCCTACGCGTTAAGCGTCTTACGGTTCCAGTTTTAGATACTTTAAAGTATCAAACTTTCCCATGTTTTTTTTATAAAGTCTGAGCCAGCACATCGTATTATTATAATCAACTTTTTATGATCAAGATTAAAATTAAGTTTCTTCAATTTGTAATGACTTTGCAAAAAAGCTTTTTCCACAATTGTAGATGCTATTTAAAGATGAATTTTATTTAAAGAAAGTGAAGTAAAAATATACAGATCACTTTGTAAACTGTCTATGTTTTATCTTCAGCACAAAAAATGACATTGGAACTATAACTCAATTCTATTTTTGTCAATTTAAAATTAGATCGAAGAAAACGAATATTATTTATCATTAGATAAAAGTAAATTACGCCTACTGTGAATCTTTAAAAAGTGTATAAGTACTGTGTTACAGGGTGCCCTTTTGATTCTTCTTTATCTCTAGTTATTTAAATATGTTCTTAAAAAAACAAAACTTACCCAAATATTCTTCCGATCAAACCCATCCCATACTGTCGCCTGTCCGAATTATCCAACATATTGTCCAGTAAAGATGAAAATATTCGAGACTTGCCGACCTCCCTTCTTTGTTCCGACCTTTCTCTGGGAGCTTTGTAGTGTGACCTTCGCCAGCCGGGTGCTGCCGAATACCTGAGGGGAGCTTCCAACGCTTCCAACGTGGCACCCTCGCCATCCGTATGGATCACCCGTTCCGGATGTGCACGACCAGAGTCTTCAACGTCAACGCCGCCTTCCGGAATCGGAAGTGGTGCAACGGATGAGACGGGCTGTTCGAAGAAGACTTCGTCTTCTGCAGATACTGGTTCTTTAGCAACGCTGGGCTCGTAACTTCGCGACCATTGGGTCTGCTGGGAGCGAGGTCTAGGGCGATGTCGAGCTAGAGTCTGTAATAATTAGAGAAAATATTGAATACAAATTTATGATAGTTGTGCAATGATATACTAGGGTCAATTGAAAAGTCCCCGGCCTGACACATAGATGGCGGCACCCGAACTAAATCCATATGATTTTCAGTTAGTCCTAACCTTCAAAAGACGCGTCTATAAATTTGACGGCTGTCGGATCATTAGTTTGTGAATTATAGCATTTTTAGTGAAGCAACTTTTGTTATTGTGAAAAAAATGGATAAAAAGGAATTTCGCGTGTTGATAAAATATTGCTTTTTGAAGGGAAAAAATACAGTTGAAGCAAAAACTTGGCTTGATAACGAATTTCCGGACACTGCCCCAGGAAAATCAACCATCAAGGATTGGTATGCTAAGTTTAGACGTGGTGAAATGAGCACCGAAGACGGTGAACGCAGTGGACGCCCAAAAGAGGCTGTTACGGACGAAAACATTAAAAAAATCCACAAAATGATTTTGAATGACCGTAAATTGAAATTGAATGAAATAGCAGACACTCTACAGATATCAACGGAACGTATACATCACATCATTCACGAATATTTGGGTATGAGAAAGCTCTGTGCAAAGTGGGTGCCGCGCGAGCTCACTTTTGACCAAAAACAACGACGAGTTGATGATTCAGAGCAGTGTTTGAAGATGATCACGCGTAATAAACCCGAGTTTTTGCGTCGATATGTGACAATGGATGAAACATGGCTCCATCATTTCACTCCGAAGTCCAATCGACAGTCATCGGAGTGGACTGCACACGATGAACCCGCTCCAAAGCGTGCAAAAACGCAACAGTCGGCTGGCAAGGTTATGGCGTCTGTATTTTGGGATGCGCGTGGAATAATTTTCATTGACTACCTTGAAAAAGGAAGGACCATCAACAGCGACTATTACATAGCGTTATTGGACCGTTTGAAGGACGAAATCGCCGAGAAACGACCGCATTTGCAGAAAAAGAAAGTCCTGCTTCACCAAGACAATGCACCGTCTCACAAGTCAGTGAAAACGATGGCAAAAATTCATGAATTGGGCTTCGAATTGCTTCCGCATCCACCGTATTCTCCAGATCTGGCCCCCAGCGACTACTTCCTGTTCTCAGATCTCAAAAGAATGCTCGTTGGGAAAAAATTTTCGTCGAATGAAGAGGTGATCGCCGAAACTGAGGCCTATTTTGAAGCAAAGGACAAATCGTACTACAAAAATGGTATCGAAAAGTTGGAGGATCGCTATAATCAGTGTATCACCCTTGAAGGGAATTATGTTGAATAAAAAAAACGAATTTTGCAAAAAAAATGTGTTTTACTATTTTAGGCCGGGGACTTTTCAATTGACCTGTTACAGGGCGCCTTATTAGATGAAATCAGACAGAGTTATCACAAAAACAAAACCACGTGCATTTTTGGTGGTTTTAGAGTCAAAGTTCTGGTACAAACTGGTACAAAGTAGAGTGGGTGGATCGGTTTGCGAGTTTCTATGATTTAGGGAGCCGGACCATAGGTTCAACCATAATGGGGGGTGTGGTCCTAAAGAGAAACCGAAGTAAGACAAGTCCCTGAAGGAGCGTAGCAGATCTTTCAGTACTCGGGGTGGTAGAGTTCACGAGGATCGGTATGGCACCCTGATGCACAATACTGCGATGTAGAAAGCACTACATTATTATTAGTAAAGCATTCCGGACGTAAACTAGTCCTTCATTCGGATGTTCTAGCGGTGACTACCTCGGGGGATGTCATAAAAAAGGGCAAGAGGGGAAGGTGTAATATTTCACGAGTCGGAGCGTGGAATATTAGAAGCATGAGGCAAGTAGGGAAATTAGAGAATTTGAAAGTTGAAATGAATGGGCTAGAATTAGATATAGTAGGCATTAGTGAAGTCCATTTACCAGAAGCTGGAGACTTCTGGAGTGGAAAGTTTTGAATAATACATACAGGGCTGGTGGAAGGTAATTCGAGGGTAGGAATTGTAAAGCGGCTATCGGATATCGTGGATAGAGAAGGTTAGGAATGAATGGATATTAGAAAGAAATAAGAAATAGGCGAAATAGGTTGATATGACACCTTCTCAGGCATGAAGGTCTAGTCAGAGACATATTATACAGACAGAAACAAATTAGGGAAAGGCGAAAATTAGCTCAGGATAGGAAGGAGTGAAGGTGCGTGTCCAAGACTGACGACCTTATGACGATGATCTGTATAAAATCGACGACGTTGTATATCATTTTAAGGGGAAGATTTCGTATTATATTTTGATTGTGAGTATTCAGTTTCCTTTGTCAATGTTAGTTTTCATACAAGCATCAGAAACAAGGAAGTTTGGACAACTGATGTTTTGTTCTAGTTGCAAGCAAGTTAAAAGGTAACATTTCGCAAGCAATATCAATGAAACACTTGGTGCGGAAACTGTTAGCGAATGTTGTAAGGTATTGAAGATAAGGAACACGACAGTCGATCATCAGAAAGGACAACAATAAGTTAAAGGCATTAATCGAAATTGACCCGCTCAAAGTTCAATATCTCATGTTCGACCACTCAAACTTTGTCTACCATTTAAAACTAAAATTGGAACATCGAAACAAGTTTAAGACAAATTGATTGGATATACTTTTAGTTACGTATCGTCGGTGTTGATGCTGTCACCTCCTTGCAGCTCAGTGGTAGAGTACCGGTGCGAAAACCAGGAGCCCGGGTTCGATTCCCGGCAAGGGAGTGACAGAAGCAACAATTTTTCCTCATCAATTTGAAGCTATCTGTAGTGGGTAGAATTAATTCATTAATACATTGAATTAACGCTACAAAAATGCAAAGTACCTCTATGTAGTAAACCGAAACTTTTTATTACAATTCGCTAAATGAGATTTATTGTGACGTTGGTAATTGACGCCAGCAGGTGGCAGCATAAGTAATGGTTGTTACTAAATACTTCGGAACAAGACCGAAAAGGGAATTATGGCCGGCCCAGTTCGTCGGGCGAGAGATGATGACACTGAAAAATGTACGCGCGCCCCGGCCCCGAATCAGGGCAAAAAAGTTGTCAGTTTAACGGAATGCGTTGTTTGCGCTCTCTCGCGCGCTAATGCCATTAGCCGTGAAGATTTTCTCCGAATGTTAGCAGCCAGTTTGCAGGATCAAATTATTTTTGCCATTAGCAGTCCATTGAAAACTTTCGCTATAAAACTGCTTTTTACTGAGAAACACTTACAATTCTCTCTCTCTCTCTTTTATACCACCGGAATTAGGGGAAGTGATTTAAATACCCACGGGTTGCATGCTTACGTTATTTCGCATTATCGTATTTTAACGAGGGCTAAAAATACGATCTTTTAGAAATGAAATTTGTAAAATAGAAGCCAAAAATACAGGTTTTTATTATGATAAAAAAATGTGTAGGCAGGGAGAATAATACATATCTTAGGATTGCAGAAATTTGTGAAAGTAAAAGAAAGAAAAAAAAAAATCGGTTGTCTGTAAAGTCGGTTTACTGACGATAGTTGAACGTGACAACGTCATAAGAAAATACTGATGGAATGGTTTCATTTTTCAAAAGAAAATTTTAATTTTATTTGTTTGATAGATATTTTGTATGGATATAGAGAAGGAGGTAAATGGAAATGCATTATTGTATAGCAGCTGTCCACGCGGACGCATCGCTCACTCAAGTAGGAGAGAGACAGATGTCGAACGCTGCCGAACGCTGCCGAACGCAGAGGCCGATTGTGCCTCTTTGTCGCTCGTTCCGCGCTCACGCTTGCACTTCAAGCCTTAAATGGAACGCCTCAGAGCGAGGTAACGCCGCATGAGTCATGTTTTTTCGTGCGTGCAGCCGGCTCCATCGAATTATAAGACGTTGTCACGTCAAAAATTGGTTCTCGATGAAAACAATTTTCAGGCAGGCATGAAGCCAAATTTTTTCTTTTTCGGGATCAAAGTGGTTGATGGTGCAGGGTGTGAAACATAATTCATTACGAATTTTTGTAGGGTTTTCAATACATTAAAGAGAATTAATTCCCCAGGGAACTGGGGAGAATGTGAGGTTAAATTAGGCCATGTTTGAGGTTATCTATAGTGGTAAAAATTAATTTAAAAACTAATTCACTTTAATTAATTCACAGAACTTATTTTTCTATTATAATTGCCAATTCGAATCGTAGTGATTTGTACCATGAATTCTTAAAACGAACGTGCTTAGAATGAGACTATAAAAAGAATTGGAGCGTAAATTAAAGGAATGATGATTATGCATCCTATTCTCGAAAAGTTTTATTCTTAGGAGTTACTCAAAAAAGAACTAAAGTTTAATAAACTACAACCTGACTAGAGATGAATAAAATTAACTAAAAAGTACGAAATTCATTAGGTGTTAATCGGCATCATCGTCTTATTGAGTAAGACAAGTCTTTTGACATGCTAGACATTTCTTTTTATTTAGTTCTTTTGAAGTCTCTTGGCAGTTTCACATTAATCATCATCATAAGGTCGTCAGTCTTTAGACTGATTGGACATGCACCTCCACTCTTTCCTATCCTGAGCTCTTGACTTTTCTGACTTCCTAGATACCTAAAATCGGCTACTTGTTCTAATTTTTCGTCTCCTGTCTTTATATTTGAAATTTCAGTTTTGTGGATGCGGACGAGGATGAGGATATGGATGCGGATACGGACATTTCGTTTTTCTCTTAAAATACTTAAGTTCTTAACTTCTTACTTTTGTTTATTCCTATATGAGGCAGACCTAGACCAGATAACTAACTGCTCGCAGATAGCTGCATATTGTATAGAGAAATGCGAAGGTTGACTCAAGATACGAAGAAGAGGTGGTGGGTGTCCAAGCTATGTTTTCGATGAAGATTTTGATGACGAAATTTAATTGAGTCCGAAGCACATCATTGAATAAAATTGAAGTAATTATCTGGATTCATATTGGTTAAGATTGATCTGTAATTTTCTTCTAGTGAGTCGAGTGAGTCGTGCCTTTGGGAAGCTTCAATTT